AATGTAGTAGCGAGAAGATCGCTCCCACAGGGCCCTTACGGGGCTGTCGCTTGGCCCACTCGCCAATCTTGTTGTGGAACTCGTAGTAGTGACCGCTGAGACGGAGATCCATCTCCCAGTTTCCAGTAGAAGTCGTACTCAGGACGAGCCTGGGCGAACCACTGCATGGCAAAGTGGGCGCTGCGGTAGACGGAGTGAACTGGAGCTTTGGCGTGGTTGTAGACGTTGTTGGGGAAGGGCTCTGGGTAGTACATGCGCATTTGCTGCTCGGACCAGAGGGTAGCCATGCCCCAGAATTCCTTGGGAAGGTTGTCCTCGATGACCTTTTGGTAGATTTCTTCCGAAGACCAGATGGGCAGGCTGTCGTCTTTGACGTGGAGCAGGAAGTGAACGTCGTACTCGCCACCAGACTTGAGAGCGAGCTCGTTGATCATGGCACGGAGAGTGAGGATCTGGTAGTCGCTGTACTTGTAGCCAGTCCAGGTGCGGAGAACGTAGGCGTGACGGGGAACCTTCTTCTTGGCTGGCTCAGTCTTTTCGGTCGTGTTCTTGTCGAAGCGGTGAGCGTTCTTCTCGCGGCATCGCTTCATGGCATCCGCCCAGTTAACCTTGCGGTAGTCGACCTTCTTCTCCCAGCTCCAGATCTTGTCGGCACCGGCCTTTTCAGACTTGCCGTCCATGTCGAGACCGCCCTCGTCACGGGAGTAGGAGTAGCCGTAGGGACCGAAGCGGCCGAAGCGCTCAAAGCACACTTTGTCGTCGAAACCGATTTCTTCGTATGAACCAAAGAAGGGCGCAGTCATGTTTTGGGGAATGCCGGGGTAAGCGTAGATGTCGGGCAGGTCGACCTTCTCCTCCTCGTCGAGGTAGCAGGTCTTGACCTCATCATGGTTCTTGAGGTACTCAGGAGAGTCGAACTTGTAGGGGTCGAAGGGCTTGGGGTCGAGGGGCGGCTCCTTGTTGTCCTTTGGCATGACAGGCCACTTGGGCTTGATGTTGTCCTCTGGGTTGGGGCTCTGAGAGTACTTGACATAGTCCTGCTCCGACACCCAGTCGCCATAGGGGACAAGGGTGCGAACACCATTGAAGAATCCGTTTAATCTAAGGGGGTTAGATGTGCTGCATAAGGCCAGGAGCTGGGCGTGCTTACCGAGGGTAGTGCTCCCAGTGGTATTGTTTCCGGCCTTCGTCGCCACCGTGTTGTGGGCTACTCCACCTATGCCTCCTGTAGATTCCAGTACCCAAAACTGAGGTGAGGACTACAATGGTCACGGCAAGGGTGATGAGACGCGCAAACGAGAGACGTGGGCGCTGGATGCGGTTCGCCCACGCTGGCTGGCGGTATTTGTTGCCCCATGTTTTGCTGCTGAAGAGCGGCAGTGGGGACGAGGCCTGGCTGTCCTGGCCGGGCACCTTTTCGTAGTTGAAGCGGGTGCGGATGAACAGCTTCCCTGGGTTGAATCTCGAGGCCATGGTTGTGATTAGGCGTGTGGATGTGCTGTGCAGCGTGTGGGTTGGCCTATCGCATCTGCGGCGAGGCTGCGCAAAGGAAGTGCTCGGATCGTCTAGTCTGGCGCGTAAAGATGCAGAAGCAGTACTGGCTGTTGGTATGCTCGACCACGCGAGTGTTGTGTACAAGAAAGACGGTACAGTGCACTTGGGACGATTGACGGCGGAGAGTGAAACGAGTGACTGTCCTGGGGGGGGGACGGGGCCGGATTATGGGTGACGCTGAGGGTTGGCAGAGAGATGGCGGGATGGGAAGGAGCGACCGACCCTTTTTCCCTCATTGCTCGCCCCCAGGCCAGACTAGCGCCAGCCGGCCCAGCGCTGGCCTACAGGGGATATGCACCGAATTCTGGAGGCAGGTCATGGCGGAAAAGATCGGCTAGTCGGCGCATCCGAGCGGCAGCAAAGGACGCGCAAAGTTCCTCACCAGACGCCAAACTTTGCCACTACCAGGACCGTAGTGGTAGCTTTGCCCTCACTTGCCCTGGCTCTTCTACTTTGTCGACTGCCTCGACGGCGTCGTCTGCCTCCAGCTTCAGTCTGGCACGCTATCTCAGCCTGCTCGCTTCGTGCGCGCCCGTCATCAAATCACACGCCACTCAGCTATCAATCAAGCTTTCAGAGCTATCAATTCACACTGTAACAGCCCTGCATAAGGCATGGCTCAGCGAATTGCGCAACGGCCGCTGCTCCCGCCCCAAGGTTGCTTGCATGCACTCTCGACGTACGGTTGACGTCTACACCCACAGTTGTCGGAAAGTGTCTCGACGGCCCATCGCAATGTGATGAGATGATGTGATGTGTGATAGGCCTGATGGATAATGTGCGCGCCCCTGGCTTCAATACCTCAACTTGCGTTGCGGCCTCGCACCACGACCCCTGGGCGTTCGCACAGCCTTGACCCCGCATGTGATTGGCTAGCTCTAAGCCCGCTAGTCCCCCATCGGCCAGCTTGCGCGTCCTCCTCATCAACTCTCCCGCAGCGCCGCGCCGTTCGAGAGCGTCCCCGGCGCACTGCTAAAAATACCGGCAATGCGAGTCCTTACAGCTACATGTCCAAGCCTCATCACATAATCCCCTAATCCTAATCACTTTGACCACACAGGCGGCTGACACAGGTGCATTGAAATGCGGACATGACAGCCTGCACCTGTTGAGCCACTATCGCTCGTTATCGGGCCCTCTGAACGCCCCGCAGTTCCAATAAATCGCTGCGTGCTGCATGAAGATTGCACATGGAAGAAGCCCACACGATGACGTTTTACCCGCGTGTAGTCTGTTTGAGCTGCCATCCACATCATGCTCGGGAAAATTGCACTCGTCAAACACGCGGCTACTCTCCGGTACTGTTTCCACCACAACCCGCCGTGTCTGTGTTTATCGCTCAGTGCCAAGTCCTCCGAGACACAAGCTCCAACACTATCCACCACAGGTGCAGGGACGATGCTGTCTACCATATCCCCATGACTGCCGCATCCCGCATGCCAATACCAGCAAGACTACCTCCAAGACCACCACATTCCCCTAAACCATTGCGCATCATGCTTGTGTGTTTGATGTCCACCTTCCAACAAGAGAGCGCGCGGCCGAGTACGCGTGCATATGAAGATCGAGCCTCACTGAGAACCGGTGGGGACCACGGCCAAGTCGCGGCACTGCAGCTGTGTCATGGCAACGTTGCACTCAGACCAAGACAAGATTCCGAAGCTACCAGAAATGTTCGTATCGATAGAAATTTGTCTCATCAGTGGCAAATATGCTCAGCCATGTCGTTTTGACAAGCGGATAAACGCAAAGGTTGTTAGCGCACCACTGCACTTGTTCATCTCCACGCCTCAAGTCGGCGTTAGCACGGTACTATAGCATGTAAGAGTATACTACCACCACTTCCAATAAATGTATGCATTAGGACTATTTGTTCGTCATATCACATGTTCAAGACGCGAAAAAAAACAAAAAAAAAACTTCCGTCTCTGGAGACATTGAATGTTGCAGCTCGTCTTGGTTGTACGGCTGCCCAGCGATGGCTTTACCGAAAACACACTGTTACACCCCTTATACAACTCTTAATATCGCCAGTACCTTCTCAAATGGTCAAAGTGATTCCAGACTGATATACACATGAGTAGTGCAGCAACATGCCTGGTTGCGCGCCGCCAGCAGGCCAATCACGGGCCTTCAAATCTCCGACGCGCTTTCCGCTTTCGAGGTCCGACTCATCGCAGTACCCCACGTTCAAGAGTTGATTGAATACCCGCCCACTGTCTATCTCAAATCACAATTATGCCAGGAACACGGGGCCCTGTGCCCGTACCGCTCGAGACAAAGGGCCAGAACCTTACACAAGATATTCTCGACCTTCTAGACACCAAAGAGCCCCTCCAAAGCGATGAAGACTTCCCCGCAGTATCGCAGGCCGAAATCAAGGCTGCGCTGGACAGGCTAGCCAGTCGGTCCATGGTCACATACAAGTCGCTAGACTCAGAGAAGGTCATTCTCACACCAGAGTCTGAGGGCATTGTTGCCGAGGGCAGTCACGAATACAAGGTCTGGAAACTGGTCAAGGAGAAGGAGCGAGTACCGATCGCGGAACTACCTGTGCGTACACCAACCACAACTAGCAAGGGCGCATTATTGACAATACAATAGAAAATCTTAGGAAAGGAAGCTGCGAGTGTAGGACAAGGCAATGGTTTCAAGAACAAGTGGATAAAGAAGGATGGCAGTGACATAATTTTGCTCCAGACTGAAGAGCCCAAAGACGAGAACCGTGAACTGTTACAAAAGATCAAAGACACCGAGTCCGTCGACGACGTCAAACTCCTCGCCCAGCTCAAGAAGAAGAAGCTCGTCACCGTCACAAAAGTCATTACATACACCATCACAAAGGGCCCAAAGTACGCAAAGGAGATACCCGTAGAGCACACCGACCTGACAGTCGAGCTTCTCACTGGTGATGCATGGAAGACTGCAAACTTCAAGCCGTACAACTTTGCGGCCCTAGGCGCGAACCAAGATGCTGGCGCATTACATCCTCTGAACAAGGTCCGCCAGGAGTTCAGGAATATCTTCTTCTCACAAGGTTTCGTCGAGATGCCAACAGGACAGTAGGTATAGGCTTTGACGGCATCTGCGCATATCACTAACATCATCTAGCTATGTAGACACTGGCTTCTGGAACTTCGACGCTCTCTTCGTACCACAGCAACATCCCGCCCGTGACATGCAAGATACCTTCTTCGTCTCATACCCACCCAAAGCAGATAAGCCACGGCTAGACCCTGCGAGCGAAGCCACAATGGACCGCATGGAGGCCGGTTCAAAACGTCTCTTTTCCACACCCGAGACTGAGGCGAGGGAAAAGAAGCCACGCGACTTTGAAAAGTACTGGGCAGACGTCAAGAAGGTACACCAAGACGGTGCTTTTGGTTCAATAGGATGTACGTGACTCATTCCATTCCAATTCCATAACCTACTAACCCACTACAGACCGTTACCCATGGGAAGAAGATGAGTCACTCCGCCTCGTCCTCCGCACGCACACCACCGCCGTATCAACCTGGGCGCTCCACCGCCTCGCCGAAGACCCCCGTCCCGCCCGCTACTTCTCCATCGACCGCGTCTTCCGCAACGAAACAGTCGACGCCACCCACCTGGCGGAATTCCACCAAATCGAAGGCGTCATCGCAGACTTCGGTCTCACCCTCGGCGGCCTCCAACGCTTCCTAGAAGACTTCTTCGCAAACATGGGCATCTCGAACCTCCGCTTCAAACCCGCTTACAACCCGTACACCGAGCCCAGCATGGAAATCTTCGGCTACCATGCCGGTCTCAAGAAGTGGCTTGAGATTGGTAATAGTGGCATGTTTAGGCCTGAGATGTTGGAACCTATGGGTCTGCCAAAGGATATGCGGGTTTATGGGTTTGGACTCTCGCTGGAACGCCCGACTATGATGAAGTATGGGGTTTCGAATATTAGGGAGTTGTTGGGTCATAAGGTCGATTTGAGCTGGATTCGTGAACAGCCTGCTGTTAGGTTTGATAAGGAGTAGATAGGAGGAGAGAGTGTGGAAGGAATGATGTTATGATAGGATGAAGTTTCGTGAGAATGATATACCCAGATGGGCTAAAAGCTTCTTTGATGAGGCCTGGACTAAGCTGTATCGCTACGTGCTCAAGAAAGCATTTTATCAAGCTCAATCTCTCGAACAGCATTTGTTTGCATGTGCCGTGACGTGTCTTTACACGACCGCTGAGTTTGGCGACGCATAGAGCGACCAAAATCATGGTGTAGATTTGGAGTTTATACTGTCCATCCAACATCCCATCAACTTCCCCCATCACTCCCCTCCTCGGTCCCCCTCCTCTTCCTCGCGCCTCTATAAATCCAACTCTCCCTCTCCTCCCCACCCCACCTCCTCTTCGCCCAAACCAGCCCATCCTGCGCAAGCCCAAACCCTGCGCCCACCACCAACCCCATGCGAATCGTCCTTGCTGCCGTCGAAACCGGAAACTGATGCCATGCACTCCACAGGCCCCCCGTAACCATACCCGCCAACGCACTACTTCCCGCATCCCTACTCCTTGCAACACCCCTATCAATCCTCCTAATATCCAACTCGTCCACGCCCTCCATCTCCTCGACCGTGCGACCCGCCCTCCACGTGCCGCGAAAAACATCCAGACTCTCCTCTACGATGAAGAAGATGGAACTCCAGGCTGCGATGTACGTCCCCTTGCGCAGGCCCTCGACGATGCCGTAGCGCCACTTGTAGTAGTTTTTGGATTTGTGGTAGAGGTACCAGCCGGGGTTCGAGACGGGGAGTCGGTGCGCGTTTTCGGCGCGGAAACGTAAAGAGGCCATGTGCCCGGCAGAGAGGGAGCCGAGTGTGAAGCCGGAGAGGAAAGAGAGGGTTGTTGTTAGGAGGAGGCGCCGGTCGAAGGGCATGTCGAGGCGGGGGGACGTGGAGAGGGGGTTTGGTGGGGGGTGTGATTGTGCGTGGGACTGTGGGTTCGGTGGGAGAGAGGGTGGTGTGGACATTGTGGTCGTTCTGGTAGTTTGGGCGGCCATATCTGGGTGGTGTGCGTTTGGATGGGTCTGGTAGCCCTTTTGGGGCGGGGAATGGCTGTGCGACCGTCCGGGTGGGTGTATTGCTGGGTTTGCGATGTGGGACGGAAGTGGTGCGGAGATGGTTTGGTGTTGCGATTGCCGATGTTTGGGGCAATGTTCGATGAGTGTGTTCCGCCAATGAATCTACAGGATAACACGAGGCTATTTATTCAGTGTCTCCGTTATTAGAGTGTGCTGTTGTATGTGGTGGTGGAGTGAAGGTCGCTGGGTTTGAGCAGGTGAGATCGGAATACCAAGATTACGTACGAGGGTCAAGTCGCGGTTTCCCTCCCCCGCGCACCCCACCATCATTCCAGCAACAACGCGTTTACTCTTCTCAAATACTTCAACTCTACTTTGAGTTACTATCTGACACTGAAAACACGCGTACAACTCTCTCACAAGCTCCCACTCGAAGCCTCCAACCCTGCATCACATCACACAATGGTCACACCTTCGCCACTAACATGGACACTCCGTCTCAAATCGCACAAAACCACCGTCCTTCTACACGTCGATCCATTAACGACATTCGAATCGATCAAAAGCTCCCTCTACGACGCTCTACAAGAGACTGGATTCAAGAACCCCGAGACCGACGAATCAATACCACTCCCCGCCTCAGCCTCAGACATCCAACTCGGTCGACCAGTCAACTTCAACGACGCAAACGAAGGCTTCCAGCTTGGCGAATGGGAATACTCACACGCGGAAGAAGACGAGGATGTGGGCAAGGGTAAAGGAAAGGCAAAGGCAACGGGGAATGTCAAACAATGTCCAAAGGGTGCTGGTCTGAAAGACGGTACCGTGTTGGCGTTTCGCTGGGCTGGTGATGGTACCTGGGACGGGGAAGATGAGTTTGATATCGGCAAGGGCAAGACAGCAGATATGTGGGGGGTCAAGCTTGCTAGCTTTGAGGATGCGTGGGGAGAGGAGAATGAGACGGACGTGGGCGGGGGGAGGGAGTTTGAGGGATGATGAGAATTCATCGGTACTTTTGGCTGTGTCGCTCAGGAATACGGGGCTTTGGGTGGAGGCATACGAGGCTATGTCCCTCAGGAATACCCGTTTCGTCACATACATACGACGGAGCAAGACATGGGTCTGTATGAACCTATAATGCATAATAATGCATAATAACTTAATACTACAACCAAAAAGGCTACTTTGCATGCATCTTACGAAAGCCAGTCTATGTGTTAGTCTTCGAGCTTTTTTCAAAATTCCAATATTGGTTTTTGGTGTTGAGTTATGTTCTGTCGAAGCTCAAAAGTTGGTGTTTTGTTGAAGAAATGACATGTCGTTAGGTGCATGTACAGTTACACGAGGCTGAGTAGAAAGCCAAATCGGGCCTAGAAATTCTGGAAACCCAAGCCACTTCATCAGGCATCCAACCGATAGCCGATATTGATAGCCTCTAGCCTTGTGACTTTCACACACATATATCAGCGTGGTCCCGCCCGGTCATCGCAACCTGCAAGCCTACCAACATGCAATTCCCAAGGTCCACGTCAGATGATAACATCGATTTCAAATACCGTCCCCTCGATCGATCTGAACCCTCAATCCGACTCATTCAAATACTGCCCGAGCTATCCGACGATGGCCGAATACAATGTACTATCACTCATACCACCACCTCCGCTGAATATAAATGCCTGTCTTATCAATGGCGCGACAAAACCCCAACGCACACCATCCTGATTGATGGTAAGATTTTCACCATACCCCATAATCTTTTCAACTTCTTCACAGCTGCGCATGATAAGGCTGCATCTGAGGGCCCAGCTGCTCTAGGGCCGTATTGGATGGACGCCTTATGTATTGACCAATCGAATGTGCTGGAGCGAAACCACCAGGTTGCTCAAATGAGTAAGATTTATGCTGGGGCTAGATGCGTCTATATCTGGCTCGGAAAGATGGATGTGCTTTCTATTGCACCGGTCATACAACAGGGAAACGAGAAGACATCTCCCAGCGAGCGATTCCTACGGAACAAGGTGGCTTGCAGAGACTTCATCACCTGCGTCGTAGGGAATGGATATTGGACCCGGGCGTGGATCATACAGGAATTCATGCTTGCTTCACACATTATTGTGTGGTTGAATGACCGGTGCATGACATTCGCAGATCTGGCGATAAGTCTAGACGTCGTCTACCGCGTGGAACCATTTTACCAAGAGATTGACAACTTTCTAGAAAAATGGGACAGGAGGTCGTATCAATACGGAGACTTGATCTGCATGCTGATCCGTTTCCCCCATGCGCGTTGCTACGATCCTCGGGACCGCATCTTCTCACTCTTATCGCTGGTCCGTGGTGAAGGCCAGGATCTGCAAGTCGACTACGGTATCTCTCGAGCCGAACTAGCTGCAGAGGTTCTACGCCAAAGTCCAAGCTCTTTCTGCTTTTGTACAGCTGTATTTGTCGCACAAGCCCTAGGGGTCGAATACACAGAGCCGCCCTTCATCAATCCTAAAACAACCCTTCCCTGTCTTGAATTACCATGGTATATGTACAGTCTCGTTCGGCTATCACCAATAGAACTAACATGTCTCAGCTGGGGAGACCCGATCGGAACCGCGTATTGTAATACTTGTCCATGTACTAGTACGATTAGTATATCCCGGGACCGAGACACTGGTGTCATTCGGCATATAACGTACTGGTACAATTCTTACCCGGTTCATACGCTAATACTACCAAAAGACAATCTCGAGATGACTTATGAGGGGGATCGTTTCTTTCTACGCATGCCGTTCAATTTCCTCAGACGTTTTAGGTATGCCGATCATGTCGAGCTCTGCTTGCATACTCAACGGAATGACCGGAAGACGAGAGATAGTAGCGCTGGCTATCCGCGTATCTGCCAGGGGACGTCTGACGCAGAATTAGGCAGCAGTAGCCTCATTGCTTAATTCAAATGGCGTTCGAGAGTGGTCGAGGAAACGACGTCGCCGAAATCGTACCTCAGACTCTATCACACTTTGTCACAAAAAGTGCCATGGTGAGAATATATCTGGGTAGCTTTTATAACTCATCGCCTAAATTTTCAGATATAACCTACACAGATAGATAGCAGCTTCATGCAAGACACGGATACGAAGGTAGTCCAAGTTCTTAGATTTCTGAGCGAGAAGAGTTCCTCTATCTGGGGTCTGTATTGTAGGTAGTATTTGGTGGAAGATTGTCTAGGTGACTCTTGGGTGATGCGCTCTGAGGGAGTGCCTTGAGGGAGAGATGGGTACTGGGTTGCGTGAATGTTGAATCTCTGAGCAAAAGGGACGATGGAGCTTGAGAAACATGGTGGGTGTAGTGTTGATGACTGCAGGAAAAGCGTGAGAGGGGATAGAGAGGGTGGAGATGGATGGAATTGCAGCGAAGATACGCTACCCTACCTTTCGGGAGGATGTGGGTGTGAAGGCGACGATAGAGGCGTGTTTGGGGCTGAAGATGGGTTGTTGGTGGCATGGTGGGTAGGATGGCTTGTTTTGTGTGAGACGAACAGTTCTGCAGAGCAAAAGGTTTTCTTATACTGCCTTGTCCTAGGCAGCAATTTTGCTCACGTATGTATGTATGTATGTATGTATTGTTTAACGTCCTATGAAAGCCTCCCAGGGGGCATGAAAGACGGGTAGCGCCCTGTATGGTACTCAGGTGCTCCTATTCTTTGGGTGTTGGCAGTGTGTGCCAGTGATCGGAATGGTCTGGTCTGGTCTGGTCTGAGGGTACAGACCAGACCAGACCAGGTGCTTACATAAGGACCGGTCCGATCATCTAGACCGGTCCGACCACGGTCTCAAAAAATCGCCAGACCAGACCAAGTCTTGGCGGTCTAGACCAGACCAAGACCAAGTCAGACCAGACCATTCCGATCACTGGTGTGTGCAGTCTGGTAGGGTAATTTCCGCCAGTTGAAAAGACTCTATCTAGGTTCCGGGCTGTGGGGCTGTAGATGTGTTGAGCAATGAAGCAGAGCTCTTGTTCTAGGGCTAGTAGGCCTAGGGCGTTAGCGTTGAAGCTGGGGGAGGAGGTGTAGAGGTGGTAAATGAGCGAGGGACTGATGACATAGACATAAGCGGCTAAAGGCCGCCTAGTAATGTGTTTTGTAATGCCGAAACTAAAATTATCGCCGGCAGAGTTGTTGTGAAGTACTTGGTGAGCTCCAAAAGTGA